CCCCCCACCGACAAAACTTTTTAGAAGACAACAGCTATTAGGAAAATTTAATTGCCTTATAGGAAGTCAAGTTGAAAATTGAAGGAAATAATATTGATTAGAACAATTTTTTTTCATAGAAAACGAAGTACGATACAGAAAGACCCAACAGAAAAGAAAACTAACTTCACGAGAACAGAACAAGAAAGAAAGATACCGAGAGAAAAACAAATAACGAATGATACAAAACCACAACAAAAACAAGAGACTAAAACAGAAAGAAAAGAAAGGGGAAAAATATCACAACTGAAAAAAATGGGATGGAAGAGACGACTAACGCCAAAAGAAGTTAAAGAACAAGCGCAAAAGAAGAAACTTGCTCGTCAATTCAAAGGAGCGAAACGAGAACAGTTGGCTGGTCTTACTGTGGATCGACTGGCCGCGTATGGACTGAGGAAGAAGAGGAAAGTTKCAGACTAATATTAACCACAATTTGATTATTAATGAATAATTCTTTGTTTGCCATTTTCATATTCCATAATACTTTACATTGTGGGAGTTAACCGATCAAAAACTGGCATAAGATTAAAGATTCATTCATCGAACGTACGCTATACCTGCTTTTGTCTATAAAATACTGATTTTGGTGATGCGTTAGGAGACTAAGTTTCACCTAGAGTCCTTTCTATCTTCCATAATACTCTACATCGTGCATTGGTAGGTAACCGATCAAAATCTGGCTTAAGATTTAAGGTTCATTAGTGGGAATGTACGCTATACCTGCGTGTCAACACCAGATGCAAGGGGGACCATATTTTCACTTGACAATAGACCTCCCTTCCTTGAGTCTAATGTTTTCCTATTTCAGGCCACGCGTCATTACTAGGGTATTGCGGTTTTTTGTTTAACGATTGTTCGTGAGAAGACACATGAATATGGATACACCTCAAACAAAGAATCTTATTCTCAAGATGATGACACGTGGTCTGGAATGGGAAAACATTATGTCCAAGGAAAAGATGTTTATTCACGCAACATAAAGAAAGTAAAACTGATCTAAATAATAAGAGAGACAAGTGAGCGAGGAAGAAAGGAAGGTCAGGACGATTTGGGAAACCCGACACAAATACTGGAATTGAAAGAAAAACCAAGAACGGAGATACTTTCCATAAATCAAGTCCTCCATTTTTTAGCAAAAGTTACGTCTCTTCCAAACCTAAGACTTTTGGTGACCGATATATGGTCGTTGTTTCATTCCTGATCGATATATTATCTTGAGGAGAACTGACTAATTTTTGTGCAGGATTAAGGAGTTTTCCGGTTAGATTCTTACACAGCCCCTCGGCGAAGCGAGAGACTAAAGAAGAGTCTGTTTTTGCGGTGGGCTCATTATCATAAAATGATCCTCTGTAAAGATGTCTATAAATCGCACAGAAAAGAAATAATAGATATGTGGACCATATTTTGACAGGGAAATCTTTCTCGCTTATTTTATACGGTAAATTTGAACTGGTCCACCCCATCTAACCTAGCCAAGAAAATACTGAGCGTGGTAATCCTGTGTCCCCCTAATTTATGCGTTCATAGCGTGACTTCATTTCAAGGAATTTTTAAAAGGGTCACGCTCATTTCCAAGAATCGGTCTGATAGATTCACAAACAACATTCTTCAGCCAACTCCCTCAACTCTCGCCAACATGGAATCGTTTGTGGACGATCTTAAGAA